GAGATTGGAAATGGAATTAAGAGTTGAATTTAACACTTTCTCAACGCAGAATGATACCATTTAAAACAATCCATATTTTGAGCAAAATGATGACAATCCAAATATGAAAAACTAACGCAAACTGATGCTCAGGTTGTAGAAAATCAGTGTGATACTGAAGAAATGAACTAGACATCAGAAAACCAAATGCAGGTCCGAATATTGCGAATGCATAGAAGACGCCTTAATTTTGCAATAATGAATAAGCAAATTGTGTTTAGCGGTGACCAATCATCATGAATAATAATCAAGCACATCCGTAATAACAATCACAATAATAACAGGAATAAATAATAAGATTAATAATAAGTAATAATAATAAAATAATAATTAATAATAAGAATTAATAATAACCTAGATATAACGAAGAAAGCGCAGGTCCAACATTTTCATCGATATAACTAACGCCTAATGTAAACAACGGAGTGGCACCAATACCATGCAAGAAATGTGCCAAGCAAAACATGAACACGTATCGAAATGTGCCTGGCTGTAATTATCAAAGACATCATATTATTAAATATTCAGCCCTATTGCATCACTTCATACTATTGAATACATTCATTCAGCTCTATTACAACACATATTCCAAAAAAGACTTATTTAACTTGTTTGCTAATAAGTTACAACTCCATAAAATTAATTATGAAACCACGTGAAAATACAAAAACTCAATGAAGTAAAATACGCAGATCAAAGATATGTGCAAACCTGATTTTCAGGAGACGGACAAGTCTTCAAGGCTTCTGCACTGGCACCCGATAATGGCTCGAAGAATGTAGCTGTTGAATCATTTGTGAATGTCATAAATACTGGAGANGGAAGCTTACAGATTGGCGATCGGTGAGGAGGGATGGAGAAAATTTGAGGACCGAATTCGTAGTGACATTTTTTCGCTTTCACATTATTCTCAATTGGGTAAAGTTTTCATTACTTTCAATTGCATATGATCACTTAATCAATATCCGATTACTCAATATATTGTAAAATGAAACTCATATAATCGATTAGTAATTCGCACTCGATAAGGAAAAAAAACAGATCTAGATTTGTTGGACATGGATATAAGTTTGATGTGGATTTAGAATCGTGGTAGGATATATGGATATAGAATCTTGGCTTATACAAGAGTGAAAATAATAATAATGAACTAACTCGTCCCAGGAATACCACACTTCCCAAAACTAGATTCCTCAGCACCGGAAGTAGATGTATATGAGTCAGATAAATTATGCGGCATCGTAAAAATGAAACTTCCTAAAGCCATTAATAAAAGACCCATTGAGAGCACCATTGGCTTTGAATGACGACCACCGAAATAAGACACCGGTATACATAGGAGCACATAGCCAAAATCATAGAACTGAAAGTTTGTTTAAAAGTGTTTCTTTGAAGATCAATAATGAAATAAAGCAAGTGTTTAGAATCGACTCTCACAATGAGATCCGTTTATAATCTTCAGCTGTTAACAAACCACGAACATGTCTGCTCAATCACTTCTTCACCGAACATTTCAACGTGCTAATGTCAAAGATGCACCACGCAATTACATTAAAATGAATATTACCTGCATAATACGTCCAATTGTCGACGAAGAGAACTGAAAACGACGTTCAATTGAAGTGATTGCTGACGGCACCAATCCATTCACTAACAATCCTTGTACCGTACAAAACCAACACATCCATAATAACATCCAATTACGCGAACCGAAACGTTGCATCCATTTGGGTCTGCAATTTTCATCATTAATTTTAATGTATTTGATTGCGTACACAATTCATTGAGATGTACAGATTCTCTTCCAGTATATCATTCAATATCACTTCTGTTTCCCCCTAAAACGTATAACTCCTAGTTGAAGGCCGCCCATTTTCAAGATGATTATCTCAACGTGCTATTCAGTATTTTGATAGTGAGAGAAAGTTGGGTTACTCATCCGCTTCACACACACATACGTTCAAGAAAGAAGAAACCTTGATTCATTTCGGATTTATTGCCAACATTTCATTCTTTTCACTTGTTCAAGATAAATCAATACTGAATCATAAAAATAATAGAGATGAATTGAAAAAATCATTCAATCACAAAATACGTAATTATGGATTATGGAACAGATGTATAGAAAA